TGGAGAGGGAGGGGGAGAGGAGTGGGGGGAGGGGGACAGTAGAGGGAGGAGGGGGGAAAAAGGAGACGGGGAGGGAAATGGGAGGCGGGGAGGAGGCGGAAAAATTATTTTTTCAATAAAATATTATATTTAAAAAAAGTATGAATACTGAGGAACATCAATAAACATTTTAGTAACTAATAATTTTCTACCAATTACTTTAGTAAAAATATATCTTCTATTTAGTAACTTTTAGTAAAGTAACTGATATTTATATAATCGGCTATGTGTAGACCTGTATATTTTGACTTTCTTTCTCTATGAACTTTTCATTATATTTCATTGCTTCTTTGAGGAGACATGTAAAAGAAATATTGATATTGAAATCAAAAGTGTTTGTCAAACATTTTCTAACTTCTACAATTTGATAGTAAGTAAGCATTTGGATTAACTTTGTTTTCTCCCATTCACATATGAGAACATGTGATTGGTTTATTTTTATCATATTTCTGTAACAAAATATTCCATAGTTTCATCCAAGTTTCTATAAGTGAAAAGTATATAAATTACTATTGCAGAATTATATAATACACATTTGTAAATTTATGGGATTTTCAAAGCTTTCAATCATAAAATATATCAACGTAAAGGCTAATTGTTCAGGTTAAGAACATTGCATTAATATTCTGAAATATCATATTGAACCACATGAGTAGATAAAATGAATATATGTTGAAATAGGAGCGGCAGGGCTGCGTCCCTGGCACCCAGCCGCCCGCATGGCTAGTTTATACCCAGAAATAATTACACGGAAACTGTATTCTTTCAAACACTGCCTGGCCCGGCTAGTTCCAGTTTCTTATTGGTTAGCTCTTACATATTGTTCTAACCCATTTCTAATATTCTGTGTAGCCCATGAGCTGGCTTACCAGAGAGGATCTTAACCTGCGTCTGTCTGGAGTGGGAGCATCATGGCGACTCTTCCTCTAACCTTCTTTCTCCCAGAATTCTCTTCTGTATACTCCGCCTACCTAATTTTCTATCCAATAAAATGGGCCAAGGCAGTTTCTTTATTAATAAGAAACTATTCCCACATCAAATATACACTAAAAATGATTCATCCTAATTTATACCCAGTGCATTTATACATTCTTACAATTTGGGTACTTAGAAGATAAAAGTGATTTTTAAAAAAAGTGAATTTTAGCTATAGGATTTTATTCTACAAACTGATAACTAATATTAATATAATCAAAGCAAATGTATATTAACTTATGAAATCAATCTTTATTTGTATTAGTTATAAAATACAAGAACCATTTGAAAATCAACTTGATATTATAGTGATGAGCATATTTTCATGGAAGCTATGCACTTCTATTAAGCATTGGCCTTCTTTAAATTTCTCTGGATCTTGCCCAAATGCATGCTGATTTTTTAAAATTATACCATGCACATCATTTGTTTTCATATTATCTAGTGCATACACTAATATTTACATGGTCAACATGTAATAGCCTATGCAGTTAAGCACAGTTAGTCAGTTAAAGAATATTTGTGGAATGGTTTGTTCTCTTTGTTGTCTACTTCCTTTCCCATGGAGGACACAAACTTCAAGACTCAAAATAAAACAGAGGAAAGTTATCCAACAGCAGTTACTAGAAAACACATCCATAAGCAAACAGAGATCATATAATAACTAGACATCTGAATTTTTTTAAATTTATCATTTCTTGATTGTTGTTTGTTTATTTGGATTTTTTATTTGTCTTTTGTTTTAGGTAGGATATCACTTAGCCCTACCTGCTCCTTAACTCAGCCAGAAATGATCTGCAATTCCCAATTCCTTCCTCTATGTTCCAATTCCCAATTTTAGCACACCAATCACATTCTCAAAAGATGAATTAATGCTGTTCTTTAACCAATTTATCATATAATATGGCTTCATGCCAGTTGATGGGGATCCTTGACTATGTCCTGTAACTTAAGTGAACCGAGATCATAAGAGACTTAAAGTAACTGCTATCATTCACTTTCATATTTATTATCAAGGCTGTCATGATGCAGCTTGGCATTCAGGCTCTTACATCAGATGAGGACTGTGGCCTTCTATCTTCCCACCAGAAGGGACATGAGCAGATACTTAAACTGCACGGCAGCTGCGTGAAATCCACTCCTCATCACCAGCATGGCCACGGTTCCTGTCTTCGTCATCCAGCTCATGGCTTTCAGTGTCATCCTGTGGATCATGGGTCATATATGTTTGACATCTTTCTCTTAAAGCCACTTTCACTGGTCCTGTAATTCATAAAGTGTTTGCATTTTAAAGGTGTTTGTTTTTTTCTCTTCTAGACAACTGTGTCTGTCTGGGCTGAGATAGCTTTCCAAGAAATATCATCTGGAAGTTGTTTTTAAAATGTTATTTCATCCAAACTGCCTAGGCTCCCACAAAACCAATACGTGCAGTAGGATCAAAACCTCATTGCCATTGTTCTTGAGGTCTCAGTAGTCCTCATTGTCCGCTATGTTCAGCGAGACCGGTTTTATCTCAGGCTTTTTCAGACCCAGGCCAGGTGGCCTTGGTGAGTTCCCAATAGAACATCCCCATTGTCTCAGCGTGTGGGTGCACCCCTCGCGGTCCTGAGTTCCATGTTCGTGCTCTCTCTCCTTCTGCTCCTGATTTGGACCTTGAGATTTCAGTCCGGTGCTCCAATGTGGGTCTCTGTCTCTGTCACTTTCCACAGGGCAGGGAACCCTGATTGCTCTTTGGGCTGATGAGGCAGGGGGACATGATTGCGGGAGGGGGAAGGAAATGGGAGGCGGTGGTGGCGAAGAGATAGAAATCTTTAATAAATAAATAAAAAAAGAAAAAAAATAAAGAAAAAAAAGGAAAAAAAAAGAAAATGCTATTTCATAAAGTTGATTTCCTTTACTGAAACAATAGACTTGACAGGTGAAATTCAAACCAATGCACTAATGGGAAAATATAGATGATAAAAATAATTTATAATTATATAAAGTTGGAATCATATGACTGATTGAAATATTGCTAAGATTTTTTAAAAATCTCCATCATCATATTTTGCTTAAATATAGATAGTTCACCCTCTTAAACTTTCCTTCAAGTTTAAAATGCTCATAAAAGAACGGATCTTTTAAGAATATTTTTATGACAAACATAAAGAAAATATGTCACGTGAAACTTCAAAAGTGCTGAACAAACTGAACACCAAATGAGATTTTTCAGGGTATTTCAACGCTTATTTTTAAATTACAATTAGGAGATATAGCAAGAAAATCATTACAATTCATCTTTCTTTCTGTGTCTAGATGATATAACTATTAAAACAAATAAGGGGTAATGGAGCAAAGCAAAACTAGTTTTGAAACTGTTTAATATGGAAAAGTCTCTTTGGGAATTCATTGTGTAATCATCAGGGAAAAGCTTATTGTCAGAATAAGAACTACATTAACAAGAGAAAAAATATCCAGAGATTGCCATTTTACTTTGTGATGAAGTGCTAAAAGTTTTCTAAAAGCATAATTTTTTTCAGAGTTAATATCTCAATTTGGGCTAAATTACAGCAGTTTAGACATGAGTGGTCAGCAGTTTTGAAAAGTCCATGGGTATAGATCTACATTCTACAAATCCTAACGCAATCTCCCATTGCTTACTTATTTTCAAGAATCGAGAAATTCTTCACAACAATGTAAAAGAACAAGTAAATTAATGCAGACATTTTGTAGCTTGTGTTTGTTGATGTTGAATTTTGTGACTGTTTACACTGACCACCTGATAGGATAATTGGCAAAAGATGATCAGAATTTTCTCTGCATGTATTTTTGTGTTGAGATCTTGTCAAAAACCTTTTAAAATTTAACATTTTTTACATATTTTCTGTTAATATTTTAATTTTGAAGTAGTAATATCTGGATTTACATCACATAAACATTACAAGGCATTGAATTAATTACTATCTTCCATTTCTACATAAGAATATTGAATATTGCATGCAACACTTAATGAAGGCTTTTTGAATTTGAGCATACTTACTTCAAGAAAGTAAGTAATTCTTGAACCACAGCTGTAGAATGCTGATTATGTAAAATTAACTTACAAACAAGTAATGTGTTCCAAATTACTATATGTTCTATGACTAGCTTTCTTTTAATAGTATGTTTACAATAAACATATAGCAACCAACTACGAAATTCAAGATAAATAATTCTGTAATTACTCTTCAAAATACAATGTCTGCTTCTTTTATTTAGGTTGTATCTCCTTGTCTTTACAGCTGAGTGTTTCAAAGATTGTTATTCATGAAAACATAATAGAATACTGACACTTTTGTATATTACTATATGCTATTTTGATATTAACACTGAAGCAATAAATCTATAATCTAAACAAGGAATGCTGAATGGGTCAATAATCATTAAAGCTGCCCTGATGACTTAAATTAATTAAGTTATCATTTATGTATTTATCAATTTGTTTTTCCAAGATGCTCTTCAAAATGTTCCCATGAGTGTGGACTATTTAATCTGAATCTTGACCAATTCTTTCAGCTAATAATGGAAAACTCTACTGTTCTCATAAGTCATATTGGTATCCATATGGTAATTTGTAGCCCAAAGACTAGCAATAAGCTATTCTATTACAGATAAACTATATATATTTTTATTGTAGATATTAGTCTTTGGAAGTATAGATATTATTAATTATTTATTAATATAGATATTGATATTATTAATATAGATATTAGTCTTTGAAAATGTTATGAAAGCAAAAAAGAAAACATAAGAAATATATCTTAGATTTGGAATGATGAGATCAGGACCCAACCTTGAAATATTATATCACATAGCAGCCTCTCTGTTGATTTCTCAGTGACACTATAAACATTTTTGTTAATTAAAAATCCAGTAAAAACTGTTTCCCACTCAATAAAAAAATCATTTCACATTTATGACTGAATTCAGATATATTTTATATACTTTACCTCTTATATAATAAACAAGTAATATAAAATGTATATTCCTCTGCAATAGAGTTAATAGTCAGTGTCTCTATAAGAGCAAAGTATACAAGACAAATGAAATAGTCATTGACTCATAATTTTTAACTCATTATAATTAAGATACAAATTGCTTACTAATTATATTATAACGAGCACCTTGCTGAGAGACTTGATTCTAGTTAGTTCCTGACTAACTCAGATTTTTCTAACATGTTTTATATTGCCTGAGTATCAAGTCAATTTCCCTTAAATTTTAAATATATTTGCATACTGATTTCTTCATTATATTCTAATTACATAAACTAATTCTTTCAGACAGAAACAGGACAACTGCTGTGATGTTTGAGTGTCTTGCAGAGGATTCAGCAAGTTTCTCCAGGCTTACTTGTTGTGAAATTCTCTCAGGACTTTTACAGAATGTCCTCCCATTTTAATCAAAACTATCCACTGTTCTCTTGTGGCGGGACTTATCGATTAGGCAGGAATTTTTTCCTAGTTAATGTTTTTATGCTACGAATACACCGTGGCCAAGGCAATTCTCATAAAAGAAACCATTTAATTGGAAGCCTACTTGGAGTTTCAGATGTTTAGTTATTTGTTGAAATATGAGCGGCGGGGCTGCATCCCCAACACCCCGGCCGCTTGGCTAGCTTATGCCCGAAATAACAACACACAAACTGTATTCATTTAAGAACTGCTTGGCCCATGAACTCTAGCCCTTACAGGCTAATTCTCGCACCTGGACTACCCACCGGGAAGAGTCTAGCCTCTGTCCATCCTGATGTCTCTGCTTGGGAGAGCTGAGCAGAGTCTGACCTCACTCCCTCTTCCGCCCAGCATCCAATTCTGTTTATTCCACCCACCTATGTTCTAAGCTATGAGGCCAAGCAGTTGGTTTATTACTTAACCAATGAAATCAACAGATTGATATATGACACTCCCACATCAGTTATTGAACATCATGTCTGATTTATGTTAGCACACATGATACTGGAGCAACAGCTGAACACTGTATCCTGATCTGTGGGCCGAGAGAGAGAGAGAGAGAGAGAGAGAGAGAGAGAGAGAGAGAGAGATTGGCTTGGTTTGTGCTTTTGAAATGTCAAACCCATAAACCAGTGACATACTTCCTCTAGCAAGTCCACAGCTCCTTATCCTTCTAATCTTTTTAAGTAGTACCCCTCCCTGGTGACTAAACATTTTTATTAAAACCACTACAGCATTGCTATCACTATCCATTTGCATCAGTGTTATAGTTTTGATATGTTTCTGCCTTTATTACTTCATATATTGAATAAATACTTATTAAACATTAAAAAGATAAAGGAAACAGTGTGGCCTCTCACTACAGAAAACAGTGTCACTAGATAAAAGCAATGAACACAATATTAGCAATTTTACCATATGTATCCCCTCTCTAATATTTCCCAGACCCACTTTCCCTGCTCTACTACCCTACTTTGCATCATTTCTCCACCCCCTTTAAGACCAGTTATGCCAATCAAATACTCTTGAAAGTTTGATTTTTCACTGGAGTGTGATCAACTTAACAGGGGATACACTCTTAGAGAATTGATTCTCCCTTTTGCCACAGGTAGCAATTGTCAAGATCCCCACCCCTGAAAGTGGAAGAATTCTGTGCCCAACTCGCCTCTCTATGTTTCGATTTGCACTGTCTTTGACTTGCATAACTTTGCACTTCAGGGATTTTAATTACACTTTCCTTAGATGAAAGATGTATCATAGAGAACAACAACAAAAAAGCTTATTTCACTATTAGAGTCTACAGCAGCATATTTAAGAAATCTCTTTATCAACATAGTATACTTGAAAATCCAGAAATAAATACACACATCTAAGAAAACCTGATATTTGATCAAAAAAAAGGAACAGAAATACACACTGGAATAAAAGAAAATATTTTCAACAAGCAGTATTGATCAAATACATGGTGAATGTACAATAATGCACATAGATTCATATTTATAGCATCACATAAAACTCACCTTAAAATGAAACAATGACTTCAACATAAATCCTGAAAGAACTGAATCTTATAGAATTGAAATGGGGAATTATCTTGAACTCATAAAGGGCAGGAACTAACGTGGAAGGTAAGGGAAGACAAGAGGAAGGGGAGGAATATGTGGTAGGGCATTTAAAACTATGGACCATTTGACAGGTTGTATGGAAAGCTAATACAGTAGAACTTTCCTACAATATATAGATATATCAAAACAATATAAATGAGCATACCAAATAAAGGAATAGACAGAAATGTCTCAAATGGATATTTCTCTTCACCAGATTCCAGTACCAAGAAAGCATTACATCTAATTGAGTCCTTGGCCAAATGATTCCCATGGAAACCCCCAAACAACTCAGGCTATTGACGAAACTATTTATCACATTACACAAACAAACATATGACCCTATCACTGAAGGAAACAAATTCACCACACATTGAAAACAAAGAAGTTCAACTTGTACCTACTGATGGCCTCACCCCTAAGGACTAGTTATTATTCCTGGTGCCGGAAGTTACTCTATAC